CACTTGCCCATACTTCAATATTTTTTCTGCACCAAGTAGCCACAAGGGTCTGATTCTCAAAAATAGAAAGGAAACAGGGGGTCGACCACCTCAAATTCCCGCCACAGCTGATGATAGTAACAAAGCCTCAACTTTGACCTAATTTTTCATGGTATCCATCCGCCTGGACAAGACCTAACCACTCACATCTCTCACTACGCTCACTAAACTGAAGAAATAAACAAAACCTGACCAAAGTAAGAACGTTTAGACCCTACCTGTGCCTTCCAGCTCGAAAATCTCCAAAATGGACCAAAACTTTCAAGAGAAAAAAATGATTTTTAAAGGTATTAACTAGGAACATAGGATATTTTCCCATTTTGAGGCCTCTGCTGCGCAACGCAAATATGGTGTCTACCCAGCAAACGCCTGGTGCTCAGCACAGGCACCTTTAGGCCACACCAATTTGATTTGTTGGTTCTTGGATTTATTTATTCTTGGCGAAAAAAAACCCAGACCATTGCATCCTATAATAACCCTTAATATTGTGATAGGAGCCCTGAAGTTAAAATATACCAGGCTAGTTTGTAATTCACACCATGAATTTAAGACTTTTAATCAAACCACTATACTTAAACTTCCTTTAACTGTTAGGGCCAAAATATGAGCATCTGGGAGTTGATTCTGAAACTGAAATGTTTCTTTTTTAATCAGAAAAAAAATGAAGTGGGCGAATCCGTGAACCAACAAATTGAATTGGTGTGGTCTTAGTTAGCTTGTTAATGTAAGGCTAATAACACAGGCCGCCTCCATACTTAGAATGACTCATCTGTTACCTAATAGTATGATAATGTATCTAAATTGTAACCGACAGTGTTAATTGTCTCTAATTGTTTATTGTCCTGTTATGATAGTGGAGCAGATAACATTAAATTTTGGAGGAACCTTTCAAAATGTGATACAAGCACCAAACTTGGTACAAATACTCATCAGACGTTACTCTTTTGAAAAAGTACGCGGGTCACTTGATTTGACTTTTGGTCAGAGATTTGGTGTCTCTAGCAGCTTGCGTTGGAACTGTAGGGATGTTTTTTGCCGGTGCACAAAATTTGCTTCAACTTGGAGTCCAGGGGCGCTAATTTGACTTTTGGCGCCCCCTATAGCTAGCGTAATCACTTGGAGCAAATTGTGCACCGGCAAAAAACGCCCCTGCAGTTCTAACGCAAGCTGCTAGAGACACCGAATCTCTGACCAAAAGTCAAATCAAGTGGCCCGCGTACTTTTTCAAAAGAGTAACGTCTGATGAGTATTTGTACCAAGTTTGGTGCTTGTATCACAATTTGAAAGATTATTTCAGTTATCTGCCACACTATGAGGGCTAGCCCTTTATAAAAGCCTCCGGTTAGTTGGGCAGTCCTGGCTGTATATTTGTTTATACAGTTTAATAATTCAAAATTAGGTCAGCCGACACCGAGCGATGCCGGCAGCTGGGGAGACTATCTGTGTGACGCCCCCTGGCGACTCATCAACGACACTGTACACGCCATGAAGGACATCGAACCCGACCCCGACTTCATCATCTGGACAGGGTACGCTCTATGAAACTAAGTATTCTTGCCTGTTACTTTACTTTACTTTATTACCTTCGCCAAGAAGGTTATGTTTTCAGAGGCGTTCGTGTATGTGTGTGTGTGTGTGTGTGTGTGTGTGTAAACACGATAACTTGAGAAGGCTTAAATGGACTGACTTGATATTTGGTAGGTGGGTAGGTCTTGATGAGACCTCAAAATGATTAGATTTTGGGCCACCTGGCGGCTTGTCATGGTACTGCAGCAGAACTTCCGGTTTTGATATCTCATGATCCAGATATGCTAGGGTGACGAAATTTAGATGGTAGATAGCTCTTGTGCTGGGGATGAAGTGACATGAGTATGAGTCCCCTAGTTGCTTGCTCTAGAACTGCAGGGGGGTTTAAAGGACAAATGTTTAAAAGAGGATAACTCAAGAACCGATTGATGGATCATCGTGATTTTTGGTATGTAGGTAGCTTAAGTGATGCTTGACATAATGATATTACAATTATGCAAATATTGATGTAATTTGCATAATTAATGAGGAAATTCTATAAATCAGCTGCATTCCATGATAGGAAGTTCAAGCTTGTAACATATGTTATTAAGAACAAGAGAAACACAGGCAAATATCGATTATGCAAATGAAGACTTAATTTGCATAATTAATGAGAAAATGTTATAATTGCATAGTGGTAACTGCCTGGAATTTCATACTTTGGGTGTTTGAAAGTTAAGTGAAGGTGAACATAATTAAACATAACTTATTCAAAGAAGGACCACATTTGCATAATTTATGAGAAAATGGCATTCTTTGTTAAGATAAGACTGTCTGGTGGAGAATATGATCAACAGACTGATATAATTCATGCAATTGAGGATCCTATTTGCATAATCAGGATGATTAGTATATTTCTTATTCATAAAGGCTAACATCATTTGGCGAAGGTATGAGATCGTGGAACTCTAGTTTACTTTACTTTACTTTTAATTACTTTACTTTACTTTACTTTACTTTACTTTACTTTACTTTACTTTGCTTTGCTTTGCTTTGTTTTGCTTTACTTTGCTTTGCTTTACTTTTAATTACTTTACTTTAGGCCATGTTGATTTGATTATATGGATGACATCCTCTGGGAACCCCAAAACTGATGCGCGCGTGCGAATAAAAAAAAGTTTTGCAAAAAAAAAGTTGCTTTCACTATGAAATCTACGTGGTCATGAAGGTTGAACAAATGGCACTAAATATTTTATGGCGAATAATCTACTCTTCGAATTCATTTCTTTACATTTTTGTCTTTTTTCCTTTGATTCTGGCATTCTACGACATTGGTATCATTTCTAAATGTTTTCCTTGCAACTTATGGTATATTTTTGCTCATTTTGCAACTGTTTTGCACGATTTACAGTATGGTTGAAAACTTATTGGAAACGGCCGAAAATTCATGCGCGCGCGGATGTCATCCATATAATCAAATCAACATGGCCTTACTTTACTTTGCTTACTTTACTTTACTTTATTTTATTTTGCTTTACTTTACTTTACTTTACTTTACTTTACTTTACTTTACTTTACTTTACTTTACTTTACTTTACTTTACTTTGTCTTTACTTTACTTTATTTTGTCTTTACTTTACTTTACTTTACTTTACTTTACTTTACTTTACTTTACTTTACTTTACTTTACTTTACTTTGCTTTACTTTACTTTATTTTGCTTTACTTTACTTTACTTTACTTTACTTTACTTTACTTTACTTTGCTTTATTTACTTTACTTTATTTTGCTTTACTTTACCTTACTTTACTTTTAATTACTTTACTTTACTTTGTATTACTTTACTTTACTTTACTTTGCTTTGCTGTACTTTACTTTACTTTACTTTGCTTTGCTTTACTTTACTTTACTTAACTTTACTTTACTTTATTTTGCTTTGCTTTACTTTACTTTTAATTACTTTACTTTACTTTGTATTACTTTACTTTACTTTGCTTTGCTTTACTTTACTTTACTTTACTTTACTTTACTTTGCTTTGCTTTGCTTTACTTTACTTTACTTTACTTTACTTTACTTTACTTTGCTTTATTCACTTTACTTTATTTTGCTTTACTTTACCTTACTTTACTTTACTTTACTTTATTTTGCTTTGCTTTACTTTACTTTTAATTACTTTACTTTACTTTACATTACTTAACTTTACTTTGCTTTGCTTTGCTTTACTTTACTTTACTTTACTTTACTTTACTTTACTTTACTTTACTTTATTTTGCTTTACTTTACTTTACTTTACTTTACTTTACTTTACTTTACTTTACTTTACTTTACTTTACTTTGCTTTATTTACTTTACTTTATTTTGCTTTACTTTACTTTACTTTACTTTACTTTACTTTACTTTACTTTATTTTGCTTTGCTTAACTTTACTTTACTTTACTTTACTTTACTTTTGCTTACTTTACTTTGCTTTACTTTACTTTTAATTACTTTACTTTACTTTACTTTACTTTACTTTACTTTACTTTACTTTACTTTACTTTACTTTACTTTACTTTACTTTGCTTTACTTTTGCTTACTTTACTTTGCTTTACTTTACTTTTAATTACTTTACTTTACTTTGCTTTACTTTACTTTACTTTACTTTAACAATTACAAGGCTTGTAGCGGCTACCACTGACACGTACGACATATTCAGACTATCATAACGTGCAATACCACGATAGATTATCAATGATATACAATAGCAATTAAATATACGAAATTAGTTCTTATCGACCTCAATTCTACCTGAATCTAATTTGCCTGTTTATTAAACTAGTCTATCGTAATTCTCAGCCATTCTTAGACTACTGAGTTCGCACTCAGCCCTTGTGATCAGCTACATAACGTTATTTTATAGGGACGACACTCCCCACATCTATAACGATAAGATGAACACAGACGTGGTGCTGACTATCATAGGAAACCTGACAGACCTCCTTCGAACCGTCTTCCCAAACACACAGGTATGACTGCGTACATAGACCGTTTATCACCAAATGTACAAAGGCCAGCAAGTCGCCAGAACGTACTACACCTGCACGAAAGCCGTAGTGTATTGTACATGTAATGGTCCCCACAACGCAAAAATAGGTAGATATATAAAGGAATGCTTTGTTATTAGAAAAATTCCGAAACTTGTGATTAGCCCACTCGATTGTTACACATTATCAAAGACTTCTGCTATCCCTTATTATTTGAATAAATATGATGTAGATTTGTTAGGTTTATTCGACATTAGGTCTTGTTCAACACATTTTATTGTTTGCTACTCTCTTGTACGTAGCAATTGTCGTGCAATAAAGTTCTTCTATAAGGTCGTATTCGAGTATATAAGGTCAATATCCCGTCTGTAGTTTCCAAATATTGTGTCGGAAAAGATATCGGAAAAGGAACTTACCATCTTCTACTTACACGGACGTGGAGTCGTTACACCAACATGGCGTCGCTACACCAACATGGCGCCGTAGTTAACGTTACTTCATCTTCCCGATGACGTGTTTCCCAGGTGTACCCGGTGTTCGGTAACCATGACTACCATCCCAAACACCAGATGCCGCCCGAGCCCAACACTGTGTACAACACCACCTGGAGCATGTGGAACGTGCCAAACTGGCTGTCAGATGATGTCATGAACACCTTCGTTAACGGTATACACACACACACACACACACACACACACACACACACACACACACACACACACACACACAC